GTACGTTGCGAGAGCATCGCACATCTTGTGGGTAGTTCTCTAGAAATTAGGCCCATTTTAGGTCCCCCATATAGTACGGCACCCTTATAAAAAGGACCCCTAAAAAAGGGACGCTAATTTAGAGAACTACACTTCTACACCCAAACGGTATGTGTACAGTCCTACCTCGGGAAACACTGTGTCAGGTATACTTTGGTCCACTCGGCAGTGCTGCCCTACACAGTTAGCCTCTACCCTAAACCCTGTGGTGGTCCGCTGATTAACTGAAAGGCTGCCTAAACACTATCCCAAAACATCAAGGCTAGAGCCTAAACACTAAAGGCTAAACTCTAAGGCCCACAAATGTCTTGTCCCTCAAACTTTCCTAAGCCCTAAAGGTTTAGCGTTTAGGAATAGGGTTTTGCGACTATGGTGTAGCAAATAGTGTTTTGAAATAGGATTCAGCACTAAACCTGACAGCTTTAGTGTTTAGGAATAAGGTTTAGCGACTAGGGTTTAGCGACCAGTGTTTTGGAATAGGGTTTCGTGCTGAACCTCAAGCTTTGGTGTTTACGAAGAAGGTTTAGCGACTAAACTTTAGCAACTAGTGTTTCGGAATAGGGTTTCGCTCTAAATATCCTAAAGCTTTAGTGTTTATTATAGGACTATTATTTCGCGGTTGGTTTCTGGAAATTATTTTGTGTCCGCGGTACGGATTCCCCCGGGCTCGCTGTCTGCCAAGATGTCTGCCGGCACTCTGGCCTCCATTTCTTTCCGAAGATGTTGAAAGCCAACGATTTCCTCATTACGACGGCCAGTCGCTGCAGAAATCTCCACGTTTTGGGGTTGCCTCTGGTCTCTATGGTTCCGTTTGTTTTGATTCTGTCTTTTGTCGAACGTTCTTCTGGTGTCAAACGAATAAGTTTTGCGTGACCAAAACCCTGCCTCCCAATCAGAAGCCCCGAGCCCACTTAAAACCCGACTTCACCAATGACTATGCTTGTACCATCCCATCATATTCACCTGCTGCAGGCACTACCTCAGCTTGTCAGGATTTGTCCTTGAACCTTGCATGGATGCCCGAGAGGTTCAGGTCCGGATTGTCGCACAAAAAGGGTTTACTGTAGAGTTTTTTTACGGTTTAAGGTCTAGGAGGAGCCTGCTAAATAGTCGATAGGCTGGACGAGCCCAGGCGCAAGCTCCGCGGCTCTGCGAAGTTGCGTGCCTTCCTAGAGCCCACGCGGAAGGTCTGGCGACTGCTTCGAGGGTCTACTACAGAGGCTAATCTTGCGTGTAGCCGGGGCTTTGCACCTTTCAGTAAATGCCCTTGCATCGCTTCACTCTTCAAAGTGTAAGCTGCTTTGTGGTGGACGGGTTTTTAGACTGGTGAAGGCCCCCAGAAATGTACGGATGCAGTAAATGCAGAGCATTGGTCCACATCTGCGTGATCCCGGTGTTTATGGGCTTTCGCCGCTGTCGCTGTACGAAGGGTCGCAGCCCTGGCAAGTAAACTGTTAAACCCGTCAGGGCTCTAGCAACCAGCCTTCGTTCGTATTCGTTCGTGTACTTTGAAAAATACACAAGGACGTTTGCCAGCAGAAACCTCTCTAGCGCGAGGGGATCATTCAAGCTTGGCTGCGCAGCGTGAACTGGTCGGCCAGCGGGTCAAAGCAGGACTTTTGGCTGAGGGGTTCTGGAAACGTTTGGTGTCACGGGCTTGAAATAGCTTGTGTATTATGTTGCGGGCCTTTAGCAGACTCTAGCAGACTCCAGCAGCTGTGATGGTTTTCCGGCAGTTTCTAGGTTTGGGCATGTGCAGTGCAGCTTCTGAGATTATTTTACTGGGTTTGGTGAGCTCTTGAATGTATCTCTGGAACTGTCAGGCATCAAACTGGTGGTGGTCGTAAGCTCCAATCGTGTACACCTTTCGGAATAGTGCAGAAAAGTTCAGCTTTGGTGCACCCGGGCTTGGATTATGTCTGGTGCATTAACTGTCCTAGGATGTCAATGTCCTCCAGACCTCAATCCTAACTTACAGCCGGAAACCCCTGGAACTTTTATAAAGCGGCACAGACCTGACATCAATAGCTCGAAAAGGCTGGAGAATCTTACGCAGCCCGGCTGCGTTGATTGACAGTAAATTGGCACGAGCCATTCACTCTCTACCCATAGGCTCCATAGTAGTTCCTGTTTGGGGTAACCTTAAAGGATTCTATATATGACCCCCGAAAAGGAACTACTTTTGGGCCTATGGGTAAACATTCATTTGGAAGGTTCTTGACCCCTTAAAGCTGCACTTAATCTTATTTTGAGCTTGCATCCTGCATATGATCCCCAACCCTCTGGGCCCAACCCTTGCTCCAGCATTGGACCCCAACAAGTAAACTCCATAGCCTGAGCGCGATTTCCGAGACGCTCACCCGCACGCCCTAAACGTTCATTTTGTTTTATTGCTCTACAAACTGTGACGTATTACCCCCCAAACCTCGCGCCCTTTCACCCCTTTGCAGCTCTCAAATCGCCAAGCCCGGCGTCTCTGAGTAGGATCAGGATTTTAAGAAAACTGCCTCAGTGCGCTACAGGTTTGAGGTTTTGGGCTTTTGGGTTGAGGCCTTTTGGGGTTTAAGGTTTCGGGTTTAGGCTCAGATTCAGTGTTGAGGGAACAGGGTTAAATAAAACCTTCCAGCCCGAAGCCTGAAACCTCCGAACCCTGCATCCCTGGCAACATACATCTTGAAGCCTATGGTGTTCGTGGGGTTTTGGGTTTAGACCCTAAACCCTAAACCCTAAACCCTAAACCCTAAACCCTAAACCTAAACCCTAAACCCTAAACCTGGGCCTTGGAACCCAAAGCCCTCAGCGCCCCCCTTGTCAGAGCACCAGGACCTCGTCGAACGCGTGATCTTCATTCGGGAGGCCATGGTGGCCTGCGCGGACCTGAGTGGGCTCCAGAGCCTCGAAACCTGCAGGACCTTCCCCCAAAAATGATATACGTAACTATTAAATAATATAGGTAACTATTAAATAATATAGGTAATTATTAAATAATCTAGGTAATTATTAAATAATACAGGTAATTATTAAATAATATAGGTAATTATTAAGGCCCCTATATTAGGATTCGGTGTTTAGGATTGGGTCTATGCCCCAAAAATAATATAGGTAATTATTAAGGCCCCTATATTAGGATTCGGGGTTTAGGATTGGGTCTATGGCCCAAGGTTTGGCGCCAGATGTGTCAGGTTAGTGGATTTGGGCTTTGGGCCAACCGCGCGATCTTGAATCCCAACCACGTCCAAAATCCTGCGGTGGACTGCGCATAATGCTAGAGGCATTCACAGGCGCGGGTGGCGGCGCTCTCGCTCGGGTTCCTGTGTTGTTTGTTTGATTTATTGCTGTCTTTCCAGGTTGTCGGGTTCTCAAAGCTGCTATTCTTGAAGTCCCCGCTGTGATGATCGATCCCTGTAAACCGAAGCTGTGTTGACCCCCGGACCGACAGTCCCTGAAGCCTTATACCTTTGCCCTGTATAAGCACTTCGATAGCCACATAACTCGGCCGTTGCAGCTTAACGGCGTGTACAGACGCTCACCATAATTTCAATGGGGAAGCAAAAACATTCATACGCGTATGCATGCAAGCACTGCTACAGGTAGCCGCATACCCTTACATGCAAATGATCTCCACAGAACTCAAAACTGCGACCGGCACCTTGATCACAAAGCCGAGGACAGGGGCGAGTGATGAAGCGAGATGGCCAATGCTTGTACACAGGGCTTACCAGCATGGGGCTTTGGGTGTAGTAGGGTAGTTTTTTAAATTCGGGTAGCCTTTTAGGGTCCATATTATAAGTAGCTAAGGGCTTTCTTCTCAAGGGATTCAGGCCTTTGCGTTTAGTTTCGTCTACTACCGAAGGGCTGCCATGCAGACAACGGCAAGGTTGTGAAAGTAATAATGCCGTCATCTTAGGCGGACTGCAAGCTTTAGAATGTTTTCGGAAGAAACTACGGGTCTTGGAAATTACACTAGTCACTCGTCTATGTTATGATATTCACTCGCTGGAAGCCCCAGATTTTTCTCTCAACCGCGCTTGCGTCGAGGGTTGTCCAGCCTGCTTGAGAGTTATCTCTGCGGTCTAGACAGCGAAAGGCCTAACCTCTAGCATATTGCCTTCGTATACAACCGTGCAAAAGCTGGGTCAAGCAACTCCGACACCCTCAACCCTAAACCCGAAATCCTAAACCCTAAGCCCACCCTAAACCCTAAACCCCAAACCCTAATCCCTAAACCCCTAACTTGAAGCAACTCCGACAACCCTCGATCGAAAGAGAGGGCTGCCTGCGAGACAGCGGTCTCGACTGGGCGAGGAAGGCGGAGCTCGCCACAACGCGCTGGGCAGGGAACACCCTGGCCCGGGTGCCTTAGGGTTTAGGGTTTAGGGTTTCGAAGTTATACACCTCACCTTCTAAGCAAAGCTGCAATCCCAGAGTTTAAGGCCCTTATATTACACAGAATTTGTTCAAGCCCTAAGCCCGCAACACTCTTGGGTTCGACTTGCCCGGCGCTGTTGATGCGAGCGGGGGTCGCGCTCGGCTTTCGCGAAGGAGGGTTCGCAGTGGGATTGAGGCTGCTGAGCATTGCCTGGTTTGGGGTTCAACTCTTGGGCTTCGTGGTTCCCAGAGACTCCAATACCCCTTAATTAAGGAATATACTTTAAATTATAGTAGGATCCCTAATAAGGTTTAAGGTATATTCCTTCATTAAGGGGTATTGGAGTCTCTGGGTTCAGTGTTTAAAGTTTAGGCCTAAGGACTGAGTAGTAAGCGTTGCTAGGTTGCAACCTCCCAGAAGGAACCTAGAATGATGTCCCGAGCTCGGTCGCGTTCAAAGGACTTGGCCTCTGAGTTCTCAAGAGATAGGTGTGTTCTAAGGAACCTAAGTTAGCTGTTTCCGAAATGCCGAGCCTACACCAGGAAGACTCGCACGACTTCACTCGCTTCAGAGCATCCCAGAGATTCGAGCCTCGAGGGGCTCGCGCGTCCAGGGAAATTCAGGCTTCCTTCCACTGAAAGAATATTTCAGCACTGTCATAGTTCTGACTGTTATATTCGTCTGCTTGCTCGGTTCTGCTCTCCGTTGTAGACGTAGCTGTTGCAGCGGTTAGTAGTGCTGGTTCTGGGAGTGGTCGTTGACCAGTAGTATACCCAGAGACTCCAATACCCCTTAATTAAGGAATATACTTTAAATTATAGTAGGATCCCTAATAAGATTTAAGGTATATTCCTTCATTAAGGGGTATTGGAGTCTCTGGGTAATCAACAGTACAAGCAGTACTACAATTGCCGAGGCTGCCACGGCTACGGTTCATTGCGACGTACGCAGTCAGTACTTCATGCCCTCCTTGCTCGTAGAGTTGTTCCCGCCCTTACTGCACTTACTGCTCGTACTGGTTTATTCTGCTCTCTTTACTGTTTCGGTTGCCACCTAAATCACTTCGACTTCTGCTGGGAAGGCAGCGCTAGCATGTGGTTTCCTCTTGTGGCTATTGGGTTTGTATGTCTTACAACCTGTGTCTCCCGATCTTCTTTCAGACATGGATCGAGCCATGTCGTCATGGTGAACTCAAACATCTTATGGCTTCCGGACACGAAGCACTGAAGCGGGAGTTTCGGCGTGCGATCGGCTGCTTCAGAGGGGTGTGCAGGCAGCTTCCAGAAAAGAGCGCATGCCGTCAACGTCATTTGCTCGACATGCCCCCAAACCCCACAAAACCCTAAACCCTAAACCCCAAACCCTAAACCCTAAACCCTAAACCCCAAACCCTAAACCCTAAACCCTAAACCCTAAGCCTGCTTTGTCACTGGGAACGTCAAGCGTCATCAAACCCGGAAGCGAGTAGCTCTGAGTCCTGCGAGGGCGTCCAGCCTGAACTCAGGGACCGTGGGCTGCGGGCTCCGAGGATCGTACTATAGGGGCCTACATAATTACCAATACTATTCTGGGGGGTTCCTTATTATGTATAATTAGAATAGGGTATTATGTATAATTAGAATAGGGTTTTGGGGGTTCCTTATTCTAATTATAGTATAATATCCCCCAAAAACCCTATTCTAATTGTTAAGGCCCCTATGTTACACTTAGTACCTGGCTTTGGGGCTTCATTGGACGGGGCCAAGCTGAAGATTCGGTGCTTAAGCCCCACAATGGGCTTGAGAACAGAGGGTTAACGATTAGGCTTGTAGCTTGTAGGGTCTTAGGATTTTGGCCTTTAGGGTATTGGCATTGTCAAAGGTGGATCTTCGAAGCTCGGGATGCAGAGTGTCCAGAATCAGGGTTTAGGGTCTGGGTGTTTACGGGTCTCCTAGTTTCTGAACGTTCTTTGGTGCCATCATGTGCATAGCTCTCCTCTCAAAGTCCTTATCTGGCGGTACCTAGTTGAGCTGCTTTGAAGTTGGTTCTAGGGGAACGTGAAGAAAAGATGGATTTCCGGGACTTGCCGCTGTCGTCCCCGAAGCCGCACTTTCAGTCCTGAACCCTGTATAGAACCCACCCCAAGCTGTAAAGACAGTATCCGCTACTTCGGGCTCCTAGGTGCTGCGAGGCAAGCTAGCAACAGGAAGGCATTTGTCTGCCACCTCTGTTTCATGTATCGAGACAGCCCAAATGCCTTCTTCACCAAATTGAGCTTATTGTTTCTAGACTCCTGTGCAAAGTACCGCTGTGCGCCATGCGCACCCTGCTCCTTGCTGCTGCCGCAGCTGCGGGCTTGTCTGCCGAAGTGGGGGACTTTCCGAAGGCCACTGGGGACTGGACATGGGAGGGTTGGGGTTTAGGGTTTAGGGTTTAGGGACAGCTCGGGCACGGGCATCTGGAACTACAAGATTCCAGATCCTCCACCTTCCCTGAACACGGCAGTTCAGATCCGAGGCCAAGCCTCCACGCTTAAGCTGAAGCCTTGTATCCTACGTCCCAAACAGGGAACCCACGAGGTCCCTATCAGGCTCGGAAGAATCTAGGGAGGGTCTTTCCGAGGTAATATCATCACTGCCTCCCCGTGGCTGGCCTGCCAGGGATGAGTGTAGGGTACTATACCTCATGGTACGTGAAGAGAGATATACAGAGTCCGAGTGACATGAAAAACACATGCATGCATACAGCTGCATACATACTTACATACATACAT